TCAGAGCAAACATTTTGACACGACTGTACTTTCTGAAAACGTTCAAAGGGTTTTGTTTCAATCCCTTGGTGGAATAAAACCAATTCAGAAACCTTGAACGTTGCCATAAAATGGATTTGTCATCCTATCTCAAGCTCTGTTTTCAATGTAATGGAGATAAGCAATAGGCTTCTCTAAGCCATCCTTATGACTGGCAGAGTCTTTGCAAATTACACAAATTATCATCTACACAATAAAATGGCAATGGAAATGCACCACGATATGCACTTTGTTTATTTATTTAGCAAATGCAATCTGGTTTTAATTATGTATGCTAGCACTCTGTAATAGGCTAATAAACGCCCCCTAGCATATCTTAAGAAAACAATAAAGCGTAGGTAATCTGGCTCTTCACGTCTTTTTTCTGAGCTGCCTCTGTATATTATTTGGTGAATTCTGAAAGTCGGAATCAAACTTCATGCAATCTTTCAAATGAAATGAAAACAAATTTAACAGGTTTTAGGGGTATTGGCCTGTGGTTCATCATCACAGTTGCTTCTGTTTCAAGAAAGTTTGATTTTATTTACTTTTTTCTCTGTGCAGTGGAAAGCTCATGTACTTCAGATGCCAACAGCCAAGCTATCTGCCTCCTTGCTTTGGAACTTGTAGAGTTAATGCAGGGATTGTAGTGAAGTAAGAAAATTAGGATTAGAACTAGCTATGAAATTATTAACAGAAAATGGCCTAGAACTTTCCAGCCTATTCCAGCCTATTCTAACACCAAAACTTGGGAGAGAATTTTAAGTAAAGATTGGGCTTTGGATAAACAGCGACACTGAAAATCATAAGTGCAAGGCTGGGTTTTGACTGCATTATCCTCAAAGTGCTGTCATATATAGTGCATAACTGCCGTGTTTTCAAGGTCGCCCTACAAACACACAACGTCTTGGTGCTGCAGGTGCTGAGCCTCCAGGAACTAGCAAGGTTCCCCTTACGATCTTTGAAGTAACCAAAACTTCTCTCATTTTCAGTAGTGTATGCCACCATTTAATTTGATTGCATACATGTTAAATTCCTCACAGATAATGACCTACTACTAACTTGTCCTTCTCTTTGCAACGCGGGCAAACTAGCTTGAGTTCATCTTTGATGTTGACTAAAGCAGTATGGCATGGAAGAGAGGGGGAAAGAAGGGTGGAGAAGAGTTACCGAAATACTGCTAATGCAGTCAATGTATTTTTACATAGTTATCCTCTAAGTTTACTCTCAGTGTGCCCTGCTTAAAAGGGCAACATTTGAACGCAGATTTCTCAAGAGAAAATGGAAATTTTTGTAACTTGCGAGTGTGAAGGTATGCAAATATGCCTATAGTGCTGTGGTACCAGCAAGACTATCAAATCAGTGGATGATGTGAGAAATTTGGGAGTTAATGCCCAGGAATTGTTTGGAGGCAGCTCTGGGAGGCATTGTCCATTTGGGAGTTCATTAAGAGCACCTGAAGGTATTTAGGCTAAATACTTGAAAAGAAAAGTAGTTTGCAAAAAGGATAAAAAGAGAAGGATGGTTGTGGCATGTAGAAGTGGGATTCTTGTGATGTGGAGGAAAAACTGAGGTGTGATCTTGGGCATTTCAAATGTTTGCTTTGTATTGATGTTCCATGCTTACAGGAGTAAACTATGGATAATTTTGAGATAGTTTCACTTTTAAAAATTCATAAGGAACTTGATGTTAAAGTCCTACCCGGAGGGTTCCACTTGGTTGGATGATGAGCCTCTGGTTGTTCTTTTAGTCTGTCTTCAGTTTGTCATCTTCTCCTGCTGCTTCTTCAAGAAGCCTTGATTCTGTTTTTCGGTTGTTCTGGGTGTAAGCTAATATATTTTCTTGCACCTGAAGTCTTTGGAGGTGAGATTTTTTTTCACTTGCAGGTGGGGTTCATGTGCAGTGTGGATTATTTTTGAAAGAGGATTTATACAGAAAGCTTTCTTGTATTTAAAAATGATAGCTTTTCAGGAGGAGGGTGAAAGGAACCTAAATAGTTTGGGTTCTTGGTAAAAGCTATAGGCTCTTAACTTGTGCTTTGTTGAGATCCTACATTTACTTTTTATTGCTGTTTATGGAAAACTAATTCAAAAAGGTATAAAACATATGCAAAGAGCACTGATTCACTTGGTGTTGATGACTGTAGAAAGACATGTTGACTGTAGAAAGACATGTTATCTTCTGGTTATGCAGAAACAGAATGATCTTCCCTAGGAGAAGATTAGCGCTGCTCCTTATATTGATAAGAGTTTGTTTTTTGGTTGCAGCAGCAGCATTGGTTTTAAAGGTGTGAACTGAGCTGCCAGTGTTTCCTTCCTTGCAGTTATTTCATGGCCACAACTGAGCTACCTGCAAACGTTTCTGAAGACTAAAACTATTACTGGAAATGAAATAAGTGTAAAATGTTTTGTAAAGGAAGATTCTTTTTGTTCAGCTGCCTGGCTTTTGCGCTATGCTTGAGAGAGCAGTGTAGGCCTTTGATACTCGACAAATCTACCCGAGGCTATTTCACTTGCAAGCCGTCAGTGAGCGTCTCCCTGGAACAAATGGTAGCAGGTGTGAATTCCCAGTTAATTGTTTGAGCAAGAGCTGGAGCAGGATGTGTGGCTGTGGTGGTACAATAGCAACTTGCCTTATGAAAAAAAACTGAGTGTTTCCTAAATGCAGAGCAGTTAAAATCTAGATGTAATGCTTGGTAACTTTAACCCTTTATGGAAGAACTCAGTTTAAAAGGGATTATAATAGCTTTTTGCAGTGGGCTGCTTTTGAAACTATGCATTACTTCTACTGCAAAATATTTTGAGATTTAATGCAAAGATTTTTCTTTTTCCTAATTACAGCGGTAGTGTGTTTCTTTGCTTATAAAATACTTCAAGGAGTGGAAGATTAAATAACTTGCACAACTTAATCTTCTAATGCTTACTAGCCTCACTATTTGTCGTGTTTGCTTATTTTTGAGGGGAGGAAATGTGGGAGAGGTTCAAACCTGTGTTGGTTTAAAAAAAAAAGAACTTTTCCTTAAAAAGCTTGGGGTTTGCGGCTTTAATTCTTACCCATTAGTTGTGCAAGTGCATCAGAGTTGGGCTTTTCATTGCTGCTGTAAAGATGAGCTGTGTTTGTCTGCCTCCAGTCTGGAGAAGCTCAGCACTGAAATTCATTTCATCAAACATTCTTCCATTCATGAGTGTAGAAGAATCTCTTTTGAAGTCAGCATAAACTATACATGAAAACTCTGCAATGGAGAGACCCAGTCAACAGTCAGATACAGTTAATTGATTTCAAAAAGTACACGAAAGGTAGTATTTGACTGTCTTTCAAGGACCTGAGAAAACAGCTTTGCTTTTATTTTCTTTAAGGGTTTCTTGGACTCAAATCCAATTTATATTATAATAACCACTAGAACTGCATTGCAGATGCTCAGAAGGTAGTTTTCTTTATTTTTCCATTCAATATGGAATGAACTAAAAGATTTAAGGAGTCAGAGGAAAACCAAATTATAGATGGCTTCACTGCTTCTAACAAGCAGCCAGATGAATGATCTGATTATTAGCAGTGGAACTGGATAACATACTAGTTTTTTCCTAGTCTTAAGACTAAGCATGACATGCACAAAGACAAAGACTTAACTGTGCCAAGGTCATTCCAGCTGGCTTAGAGTTGCTGTGTTGCACTGTGGTGGGGGGGAGGAAGGGGAATGTTTTACAGAAAAATCAGTGAGCCTTCTCTTGTTTTTAACTTTGGGAGCAATGGTATTTCAGCTCTGAAATGGCAACTCTTTCTATCCACCTAGTCTAACTAAAAGCCTTCTAGACCTAACTAAAATGCGGATCCAAATGATAGCTACTTTCTCCTTTGTTGATTTGAAAGGAGTAGCAGGTTCCAAAATGAGTCTGTCTCAATTTTATTTAGCTGAGGAGAGGTGTGTTCAGCTCTCAAAGGGCTGTTAATGAAAATGGTATCCTGCCTTTAGGATACGATTAACCACAGCATACTTGTGCTGATGAGAAGCTTCTTAACTGGATTCTAATTGGTTTTTGCGTTCACCATAGAGGCTCTTCTCGGGCGTTCTAAGACAGGACTTCATGGAAGCAAAGCAGATGTTTAGGGAAAGTTACGGACTATAGACCAATAATGAGGTGCAGGTCCAGAATGGAGGTAAGTACCTGTAGCTTGGCGGTAAATATGAAAAAGGAGTTTGAAGAAGAAATTTGCTTCCTTGGTATATTGTACGTTGCATTAACATCTGGCTCTGTAATCTTTTGAGAATTCCTATTGTTAAATTGAAGCTGAAATGCTTTGAAAACTGTTTTTTTTCCCCCCCCACTACTCATTTATCCCTCCAAACTATGGTATTTTGCCCTCAGCTGTCCCATGGGAAAATTACTCTCTTTTTTTTCTTTTTTACACTGTGGTGTCTCCTATTAGTATTACTGCTGAATACGTTTCACTGTGTTACAACAATCATAGTAAGCAGTAACATGACTATTAGTGAGGTTGTCTTGCAGGAAGAGGTGGGAATCAGATGCTTAACAAGAAACTCCAAATAATAGTCTGTCTTGTCTAGCAGATGTATTCATTATGGCAGGAGCCACAGTGCATGGGTCATGAAGAAGTAGTTCTCTCTAGCGGGTGCATTGCCTGTCCTATTCATTGCATGTGTTTTATTTTTGTAAATAAAGAATTCGTTCTTCTCTTGGCTTTGGAGCATCGACATATCAACTCTGAGTGGTCCTGTGTAACAGGAAATCATGCTGAAATTGAGCCCAGGCCTGAAGTTCTTCGGACTTATCAGCTGTTTGGAGATAAACTGGTTGAAAACCTTGAAGGCTGTGTCCTAAGTTATGCCTATGGCAAGCTATGGAAATGATGCTAGAGGAAGGATGCTCAGGTACATGCAAAGTGAAGGTCACGTAGACTTT